GATCGGCACTTTATATGCACTGTCTCATCGGACCCTCCCAAAGTTTCACAAGGCGAGGACAATTTTGTCCCCATTTTACAGATAAGGAAAGGAAGCATAGACAGGCCACTTAAGCTGGCCAAGGACAGCGACGCGGGAACAGTGCCATCTAGAGCTTCCTAAAGCTCGCACTGAGCTTTAACTTCTCTGACGCTGGTGCATTGCTTCGCAGATTGTAATGGTTCCAGGGCAAGACAGAGCTCTCCCGCCCTCCGTCTCCCCTCTAAGCCCAGCTCTGTGCCTCGCCCAAAGTAGCCTGGTGTAAATATTCACTGGCCTGGCTTTATCTGAACAGCACCGTACTGAGTGGTTCTACTAAAACTCATGAAGTGGTGGCGGGGACAAGACTTCGGGGCTGGGCATCGCAGCCATCAGTGCAGTTTTCTGGGTTATAATTTGAAACAGGGTGTTCTTGAATCTATGTGATGATGTACCCATTAAAACTCCTTATAAGTGGATCATGTTTTAATGACGACTTCTGGGAGGGGGCGCTTCTCCAGTTTGGGTCTGATGGGGACAAGAGGAGAGTGCTAGCGGCCACACCAGCAGGTGGCTGGACAAGTCTGGTGTGACTGATGCCAAACCGCTCATGTCACTAATGGCCCCAGTCCTGTCTTTTGGTGTTACCACCAGGGGGCACGTTGACTTAAACTGAGCCCAGACTTTCTGGCACAGCTAGAAACCAGCAAACTCCCAAGTGCTGAAAAAGCCCATTACCAAAGTCAGGAACTGTCAGCCTGCCACCTCCAGAAGGAACCAAGTAGGAACCGGGTGGTACCAGTCCCAGCCCGGGGGAAAGTGGTTAACGCACCACTGCAGGGGCCTGCAACCCACCCAAGCAGCTCTACTAGTCTGGTCTTGAGCTTTCTACATCCTGTATTTATGAGACTTAACTTCCCTGATTTTTGTATCTTGCTTCTCAGATTGCAAATGGCTTCAGGGGTCCCAGATCCAGATGGAAGAAAACCACTTTCCTTTCTGCATTAGGTCTGGGTACCCACAAGAGTCAGCTCCCGGGAAGGGCAGGGGTCCGTGAGGGGGTCAGCGTGCTCCAGAAGCAGATGGAGCTGGCGTCTGAGCTGGGGAGGGATCAGGCATCCACTCAGCACCCGACGGCTGGAGCCCCACTCTGCAGAGCGGAGACCCAGGGCAGGGACTGGAACAAGAGGGAGAAGCGGATGGAGGGTCAGGGGAGTGGGCAGAGAATGAGGCAGGACAGAAGAGGCCCGGCTGTGCCAGACACCGGCTGCAGGAACTTGGGCAGTAGTTTCTTCGTCCACCAAATGGGCAACAGCCCCTGCTCAACCTGCTTTATGGGCTTTTCCCGGGATTAATAAGGAGGCTGGGTGTGAACAGGCTCTGTGAGCTGGTGAAGCTCTAGGCAGGCATGAGGGGTTTTTGTTCTCGCCATTAGTTCAGCATGAGAACCACATCTGCTGACTGCTGAGCTGTATCCGGCCATTAGCTTGAGGTTGTGACTAATTGTTTTTTAATGAAAAAAACAAGATTTGCTTAATGTTTCATGAGTCACATAAGTGAGCATCTCTATACCAAGAATATCTGACTTTCAAAGATGTGGACTGTCCATCTAATCATGGCTGAGAAGAGGTCAGGTGCAACCGACCCTCTTTCCTGGGGGCCTGCTGTGCCCTTTGTGAACCCATAGGAGTGAGTAGGTGAATAAGAAGGTGTCTGTCCTCGAGGAGGCCAGGATGGATGAGGAGGAAGACCTGCGTGGCTCTCTGATACTTACAGCATGGGGCTTCCCGTCACAGGCACAAGCCAGGGGCCAACAGGCCATGGTAACAGCAAAGCTTGAGTGGGGTCCTGGACGCCAGCTGCAGCGTAATCCAGCAGCAAATGTGCTGCCAGGGAGACCGTGCAGCAGGTGGACGGCATCCAAGCTGGGCCTTAGACAGGGGTAGGGTTCTGCCCTGTGAGGAGGACAAACATGGGCATCAGCCCAAGTGAAGATGCAAGAGGACAGGGCAGAGAACACCTAATAGGGACCCTGCCCTTCTCAGTTCACTTGAGAAGAAAAGAAAAATAGAGAACATGAAAGCCACATCAACATTAAGTATATACAGTCCAAGGCCAAAGGAAGGGCGTGTGTGGCAGGGGCAGGGGAATGAGCTGGAGGGCTGGCGTTCACTCCCCTGCCCCCATGCTGGCTCAGGCCCCATCATCTCCACAGGCCATTTTCTAGGCTCCTCTAATTGGGCCCCCACCTCCTGTAACACTCATCCTCCAATCCAGAGTCCACACTGCCAGCTATACTCCCAAAGCCTGTGAAGCCACAGTCCTCCACTTCCACTCCGCTGCCTACAGGAGCAAGTCCAAAGCCCTCAGTCTGGCTTCCAAGACCCTTCAGAGTCTGGCCAACATTTCCAGCCACAACTCCCATGACATCCTTTCATTTGCCTATGACCAAGTTCCACCAGACAATTCATCATACCCTGGATGTGCCAATCACTTCAATGTCAATATATTTGCCTAGCCTGACCCCTCCACCTAGAATGCTAAAGAAAGTCGCTCTTGGTTTTGAATCCTAGCATTGTGATCTTAGGTAAGTTACTTAACTTTTTTGTGTCTCGGTTTCTTCATCTGAGAAATGAGGATAATAGGACCCACCTTCTAGAATCATCGTGAAGATCAAATGAGTTCAAACAAGTAGGGTTTAGATTAGCTCCTAGTACATAGTAGGTGTTCAAAAAATGTTAACTGGTGTTAGTATCAATGGACTGAAATTCTCCAAGGGTTAGTTCGAGGTCAGGTGCATAAAGAATGAATTGCTCCTCCTTCTGTGCATGTGGGTAAATCTGTCATAGTGTTTATTTCATTCCCTAGTGATGGAAATTCAACAACACACCACCGTACCTGACAGAACACCCAGCTCCCAGTAGACGCTCAATAAATACGAGACATTTGGGTCTGTGCTGGGTGCAACTGAGACTTCTTAGGCACATCTCTACTGTGGCTGTAGTGGTCAGGAAGAGCTAAGTTATGCTGTGGTAACAAACAACCCCCAAATCTCAGCAGCTTCAAACATCAAAGGTTCATTTCTCAGTCACATTCTGCGTTGCCCGCTGGCTGGTAAGGGCTCTACACCATGTTGCCCTCACATGGGACCCAGGTTGACAGGGCCTCCACTCTCCGGGACACTGCCAGTCACTTGTGGCAAAGGGAAAGGAATGTGGCCTGTCACACACTGGCTCCTAAAGGCTTCTGCCTAGAAGTGACATGCTTCTGCTCACATTTTACTGGCCAAAGAAAATCAGGTGGGAAAGTGCAAGCCTACCACGTACTCGGTAAGATGAGGATGTTAGCAAACAGCCTTAACAGCCCAGCTCCTCATCTAAGGATCACGTTGGTCTCAAACACTTACTGGTACCTCCCGAGAATGAGAGAAGAAGCAGTGAGTGGTTTGTAACTTCAGGCTGGAGAAATGAGGAGCTGGCAGCTGTACTCAACCCCTCTGCAGAGGCTCCAGGCCAAGTGCAACAGAAACATACTGGACTGTTCGCTGACAAGCTTGACTGTGCAAGGCTCAGCCATCAGAGGTAGAGAGGACACGTGGAAAGGGGACAGAGAGTTCCAGCACCACGCTGGGCACTAGGCTGGGCTGCCTGGCCTTGCCAGACACCTATCCAGTTCCTAATCTGACGTTTACAGACTACACCCACAGCACCCTGAGAACATAAGACAGGCAGCCTCCCTGAAGTCTGAGGGCCAGCTCCTCCTGACAGATAGGATCACCATCCTTCAGCCTATCCCAAGGTGACTTCTCTCTCATAAGCCTTCCTCAGGGGCTCCAAAATGATGGTGTCAACTCACTCTGGCTGAGAGAAAAGTTACACGACTCTCTTGAGTGATCTGCAGCCACTTGTCCTGGTAGAACCATGGGGCAAGTAGGGCTTCTCTACAGGACAACCTACAAATGATCCTCAGGGCTATGTCCGACCTCCCAAACCCAGCTCTGCAGCTCTGCTGTAACTTATAGTCTTCCCAGAGCAAAGAGGTGTGTTTTATTAAATTATTAATTCTGGAAGAACGAGCTTTAGTATCTGAACTTCAATCAGCATGGCCAGGCAGATTAATCTAAGAGCTTCAGACAATCATATAATTCATAAAGTGACATTTACAAAGAGACAACATGACTGCTTCCCAAACTCATAGTTGCCCGGGTGTCTCAGAGTCAGGTCTGCCCGGGCCTGGGATGACCCTGGGAGACTGCAAGTAGATGCAGCAACGGTGGCCCTCTCCAGGAAGCCATTCCATGGTCATCCCTAGCAACCACAGGAAGGTTTAAGATGCTCTGGAATTCCTACAGGAATGCCGACTCAAGTGGGATGTTTCTATGAGCCGGGAACACAGGGTGGGCCAGCAATGCCTCCACCAAGAGAAAGAAGAGCTGGGGCCTGCAGGAGAAGGGGTTCTCTCTGATTAAATTGGCCACCCATTCTGATAGGAGCATGCCCAGCTGCATCCCTTCCCTTGGAAGGTTTCCCAGGGATGTGCAGGGGCAAAAACACACTGCTGCACAAACATACTCCCAGAAAAGGGTCCTGCTGGTGCCTGGTCAGGCTCTTGGGAACAATGCGCCTGAATGGTGGGGACACGCAGCACCTCTCCCCGTTCCTGGTCATGCCATCAGCTTTTCCTTCCCTGTTCCATGCCTTCAAGCCAGTTGTGTTGCGAAGATCTGGGGCAGACCCAGTGCAGCAGGCTCTCCCTGGTGGGGAAGCACATGGCGAGGCCAGCCCGACCCCTGCATCATCATCTCAGCTGCCGGCTTCACTGTCCTTGGCCCACCCCCTGCTCTAGCAAGATTGGGATTGGGGCCTCAGGGTGACATGGTAAAATCCAGTAGAGAATGACTTTTCCAGCAATGCAAGTGACCCACGTCTGGGCTTTATGTCCCTAAAACAATCAATCCAAAAGCTGGACATGGGGTGGAGCACAGGTCTTCTTTTCTTACTCGGAGCCCATAGCACCAGACTTTTTGGTATCTGAAGTCCACATTTATTTTCTCTTTAGCTATAGGTGAATCACATGTGAGCCTGCTGATCAGGATGCTGGGCTACTGTTCCTTTTCTTTCTCTCTCTTTCTTTTTCCCACATTTATATTTGCAACCAGCTCCCAGGTGAGTCTCTTTCAGAAGGCACTGATTTGGGAATCTAGTTGATGACTCCTGATTGATAGCTCCTGGCTGCATTATTAGAGTGTGCCCTGAAGGTAGGTTCTTGGTCAATATAGTGTCCTGAGAACGAGCATTGCTTAAAAGCTGCCAGCTGTCCAGAAAAAGGATGACCCCAAGATCATGTCAGGAATGTTAAGTAGATAAAATTTGCAACAGTCCCTTGGCCAAAGAGTGTGCTAAGACTCCTTCTTGTTGAGGTTTCTCTGGAGCATGAGCAGAGCTGCCCCCACAGCTGCGTCCACATCCTGCCCAAAGGACACTGGGAAAGGGAAAGCCCTCTGCACCTCCTGCTTCAGCACCTCGTTCCTGGACAGCGCACTGCCACTGCCGATCACCCGCTCCACGCCCCACTCTTTGAGCTGCTGAAACGGAAGCATGGAGTGCAGGTTCTGCACAATGCCTCGGCACAGGGCCCGGGTCACGTGCCCCAGGGAGAGGTCGGAGGAGGAGATTCTGGTCACCGAGGCCAGCTGGTCCGGCAGGTGCCTCTCGCCCAACACCGTGGGAGTGATGGTTAGGCAGGTGTCTCTCTGCTGTGCAGCTGCCTGGATCATGCGTGAATACACAGCAGATTCTTCAACCTCCAGGCCTGCCAGAGAGAGGGAAGACCTGTGTGAGTTCATGCACACCCTCGCTGCAGGCTGAGGCAGTAAAGAATTCCCATGGGGTGGGGATAGGTCAACTTGCTGCCTCTCCTCACTGTGGCTGGCTGTTCCCAGCTCAGGGACGCAGAGTCTGGCTAGCTGTGCTCTGCCCTAGATCCCAGCCAGCTCTCTCACTGGAGACCCCAGCCTGACTTCAGGGAGAGAGCTCCTAAGTGTTGCTGTGAGCCTTACCCACCCCACAGCTATAGGACCCTCGGTCCCAAGGGGGCCAAACGCATACACTTATCAATAAGTATCATCGCAGCTCTACTAGACTTATTCATAGTGTCAGAAATCCCAGGATCAGAGTCTAGTCCACCCCTGGCAGAGGCTGAAAACCACCAGTCTAGATCAGTGCTCCTCACATTTGAATATGCATATAAATCACTTAGGGACCTTATTAAAATGCAGCCTCTGACTCAGCGTGCCTGGAGTGGGCCCTGAGAGTCTGCATTTGTTATCAGCTCCCAGAGGAAGCCAGTGCTGCTGGCCAGAGGACCACACTTTTTGAGTAGAAGGTTCTAGACCAGTGCTTACCAACACATGAGGGCATCAGAATCACCTGAGGAACTTTTATAAAATTTCATGCTCAGGCCCCAGGCCAAAGAATCAGCACTTCTGCGGGTGGGACTAGGACAGCAACATTGTTTTAAAAGCTCCACAGCTATTTCCAGTGTGTGGCCAGAGCTGAGAACCACCACCCCAGAGTCACTGTGCAGTCTCATCGTCAGCACATTCAACTCATACAAACTCAACTACACACGCTCAGGAACTAGAGAGAGAAATAATTTAAATATCATAGTCAAAATGTGATCAGCAGGACTCTGGTTAAATACGGCAGAATGGATATAAGCGACTTTCCTCTCCCTCTAGAAATTCTACTAAAATATCAGAAAAAATCATGCACTTGGTGAATACCCTATACGTGTGTACAAGCAGATAGATCTGTAGGACTGAGTCCTTGGAGGGAACTGCTGGATCAAATGATATGCCCGTTCTATTCCCTCCCGAGAAGCTGTACCAATTCACACCACCACAGAACTTATGAGAGTGACTACCTCTCCACATCCTAGGCAACACAGTATGCTGGAAACTTCTCCAAGAATAGATATAGAATGTAAAACCATCCAATTAACGGGAAAAAAAAGGAAAGGAGATAAGAAAGAAAACACAGATCAATCAAATAGAAGGCAGAGAGACTAAGGAGACATGGTGACTAAACACAATGTGGTATCCTGGATTGGGTCCTGGAACAGAAAAAGGACATTAGTGGAAAAACTACTGAAATCCAAATAAAGTCTATAGTTTAAAAAAAAGTAATATGCTTGTATTTCCTTAATAAAAATTCAAAAAAGAATTCTAAGGAAATGTTAAAATAAAGTGTTCTTCCTCACTGGGAACACTTGGGCCACGACCCAGCCTTGGGAAGCCCCCTAAGGAAGGCATACACCAGCTGGAGGCCTGGGAAACACGGCTTCCAGCCCTGTCTCTGCATCCGTTGGCTCACAACCTCATCTGAATCTACACGGGGATTAACTGCTATGAGTTGCAAAATGTCCACACCATGGACTTAGAACCACAGAACCTCAGAGCTGGGAAAACACAGAAGGGAAGGGACTTGCCAAGGCCACGTAACGCCTTGGGGAAAGCTGGGAACCAAGGCCACTCTCCTGGGTTGCACCACCACACTATGCTTATTTAATAAGCGTTTATATCACACTTACTATGGGCCAGACACTATTCTAAGTGCTTCGCAATATTACCTCACTTAATCCTCACGATCCTTTGAGGTAGGTACTAGGATGATCCCCATCTTCAGATGAGAGAAGTGAAGCACAGACAGGGTAAGTAACCTGCCCAAAGGCACACAGGACATGGTAGAGCTGGGATTCAGACTCAGGTCACCTGGCTTCGGAGTCCCTGCTCTAAACTACCACAGCAGGGTAGAACTCCCTGTTTTCCAAACCTGGAAGATAATGCAAACCTAGGGTATTCTGAATAGAGTGAGAGTTTTATTTGTATTTTATGCTTTAATATTTCCATTCTGGCTAATAAATGTAATGTCTTTTATCTGAGTAAATTTTATTGTATTTGCAACTATGTATTTTTTAAATCAAATGACATAACTGTAGAAATTTCACAAAAGGTTAAGTTACACAAAATACTAACCTTCAAAGCATTCTCTGTTTCATCAAAATAAGAACCATGCAAATGGAAAGGCTTTTCTTTTTGAGAGGATCTTACAGAGAAATTAAATATTACCACCTCTTTCAGGGGTAAGATAAACAGTCACTTCTGTATAAAGAGAAACACCAGCCAACGCAGTAAACACTTGACAGACTCAGTCCAGTTAGACCGGTATCTAGATAAAGAGCTCGACCGAAGGTTCTGGTGACCGGTTCTGCATCTCAAAAACCTTTTCTGATGCAAGGCAAAACAAATCAAAGTTCTGTTCTTTAAATGAAGTGTTCCTGAGGGGACGCCAGCCCAGGGGGCAGAACTCCTCTGCAACCCTGATGTCCCGGCCAGCCTGGCCAGCCTGAAAGCAGAGACGTGGGTCAGCAACACTTGTCTGCTTGACCAGCCTGAGTGTCCCATGTGCTCCCTGCTGCCTACGCCTCACCTTGTCACTACGTTGGATGTTTCCTGGAATGACCTGATTTCAAGCTCCTACAGGTGACCAAAGCATCTGGTGATATGATTTCCCTAGACATGGACAGCTGACCAGAAATTTCATTTCTACCTGAAGTGCTTGAAAACAGAACCTCTCTTGGAAGAAGGCGGTTACATGTTTCCCTGTAAATGCAGGGCAGAGGAAGCCTGATCAGTTCTACCCAGAGGAAATCCGAGTTTCCAGGGACCCTTCCAAAAAAGGGGGTCAAGAACTCCTCGGCAGGAATAAGTGCTCTGAGAATTTTATAATATTTTAAAATATCGGGGGGCCAGCCCGGTGGCGCAGGTCGTTGGGTGCGCGCGCTCCACTGTGGCGGCCCGGGGTTCATGCGTTCGGATCCCGGGCGCACACCGATGCACCGCTTGTCAAGCCATGCTGTGGCGGCGCCCCGTGTAGAGTAGAGGAAGATGGGCATGGATGTTGGTCTGGGGCTGGTCTTTCTCAGCAAAAAGAGGAGGATTGGCAGATGTTAGCTCAGGGCCGATCTTCCTAACAAAAATAATAAAATAAAAATAAAATAAAATATCGGGAGTCTTTTCACTCACTTGTGTTTGATCATTTTACTTTCAGCTATCTGCAGTCATTAGAAGGAAAACCTCAAATGCAAGGGACCCAGGGGCTTACTGACAGAGAAAGTGACACACAGGGCAGGGGAGACCTGGGGGACTATTACGATACTCCACAGTCAAGGTTAGGGGAGAAGGTGCCCCCTCAAAAAAGAGTAGGTGATGGCAGCTCAGAACATGAGAGGAAAGAAGGCTACAAGCTCAGATCTGTAAGGAAGGAAGGACCGTGCTGGAACCTGACTGGGTCTGAGACATGAATCTAGAAGCTTAAATAGTACATTCAGCACCAAGACATTGCCAAATAGAAAGGACAAGAGGGGACACACCGCTGTGTGCGCCATACCTTACCTAGATCCGCCATCCACTGGACCAGCATGTGGACGAATGTCGCCAGCACATTGCCCCCATTGAGTGACGCTGCCACCGCCAGGTAAGTCCTGTCGAAGTAGGGGAAGTAGGCGACGGGAGCTGCAGGGTCTGGAGTCAGCACCGGCTGGAATCCGGAAGGCATGGAGGCCGCCAACTGAACCGAGGTGCTGATGTTGAGAACTGGGGCCCAAGGAAGTAGAGGTTAGGCCTGTTGGGCTAACTCGGAGGTCACAAGTCACAACAGGGCAGGGGGAGAGTGTGCTGTTTTTAAAAATATGTCTAGAAAGTCTTAGATACCCCTCCTTTCAGGAGGTAGAGTCTAATTCCCCTCCCCCTGAGTGTGGGCTGGACTCAGTGACCTGCTTCTAACAGAGAGGATAGAGCAGAAGTGACCGTGTGTGACTCTGGAGACTGGGTCATCAAGAGGCCCTGCAGCTTCTGTCTTGGATCACCTGCTCTGGGAGAAGGCAGGTGCCACATCGTGAGCAGCCCGATGGAGAGGCCCACGTGGCAAGGAACTGAGGCCCCCTGCCAAGAGCCACATGAGTGAGCTGAGAAGTGGATGCTCCAGGCCTGGTCAAACCTCCGGATGACAACACTCCCAGCCTGACTGCAATCTCATGAGGGACCTTGAGCCAGACCATCCAGCCACACCCAGATTCGTGATTCTCAGAAACTGTGTGAGATAATAAATGCTTGCTGTTTTAGGCTACCAAGTATTGGGGTGATTTGTCACACAGCAATAGACAACTATTTACAGAGAGTAAAACCTCAGCCCAAGTGTTTTATTCTCTGGGGAGGTTTCATTCCTTTTCGGCAAGTACTACCTCCTTCTCATTTCCAAGGTGTTCTCCTCAACCGCCCCCCACCAGCAGAGGGAAAGCTCCCAGACCCAGCAGAGGGAATGATTTTCTCCTCTGAATGGAGGCCAGGACTGTTCCAGGAGTCTCTTCTCCTCCTTTTCTCACGAGACCTGGCCAAAAACCCTGTTCTCAGTCTGTTGGGGGCTAAACTAACTGAGGTCAGCATTCAACCTTCCCACCTACCAGGGCGTCAGAAGCAAGGAGAGTGAAAACAAGTCTCAGAAAGCCAGTATCTTTCCTTTCTCCCACATCAAGCCTCTCACCATGACTGTAAAGCAGAAGCAACATGCCCTCCACTTGTCCCCTTGAGTGGAGGTGCCTACCATGGGAACCAACCAACTTTGCCCACGGACCTGGCACAACTGAGCACAGGCCAGCAGCCCCAATCTGGAACCAGAACCAGCTCAGTGAAGAGGGAGCCTGAATCTTACCTTCTTCGCATTTGACTAGCCCCCTACTCACCATACAGAAAGCACATGTATATCCAGGCATAGAGCAGCCCTGTGTGGAGGGAACAGCCTAAGATTTGAAAACCACTAGGTAGGAGGAAAGAACCAGGCTCTTTACGGGCACCACCCCAACTGTCCCATGAGAAAGGCATTGTCACCCTCATTTTGGACGATGACAAGGGCTCAGAGAGAAAAGCAGCCTGCCCAAGGTCACAGCAGAAGAAGTAGAGGGGCTGAAATTCCAACCCAGGCCCGCGGGCTGGACTCTAAGCCCACGTGAGTTCCCTGACGTTCGTGCTTTGAGATGAGGGGACATAAGGCAAGAGATGGGGCACCAGGAAAATTAAGTCACAGAATAAACTTAGTATATTTTCCTGGGGCATTGATTTTATTTTATTTTATTTTTTATAATTTTATTTATTTTTTCCCCCAAAGCCCCAGTAGATAGTTGTATGTCATAGCTGCACTTCCTTCTAGTTGCTGTATGTGGGACGCGGCCTCAGCATGGCCAGAGAAGCGGTGCATTGGTGCGCGCCCGGGATCCGAACCCAGGCCACCAGCAGCAGAGCGCACGCACTTAACCGCTAAGCCACAGGGCCGGATCCTGGGGCATTGATTTTAGTTGAAAATTTGAGAGAAAAAAATTTTGAACTTTGTTGACCTTAAAAGATTTTACCACATTTACATGCAAACAGGATTGGCAGAATTTCACCTTTTCCTCTCAGCTAATCTTGAATTAAGAGGAAGTTCTACCAAAAACAAAACAAAAACAGTCAGGTGAAATTTTATTTTTTAAGAATGTAATGAAACAAGAATAAACTAATACACAGAGGATAGTGCTGGTCAGAATTTTTAAACTCAGGGTTGAATTGTAATAGTTCTAACTGATGGAGGGAAAAAAAGATATGATGACAGCCGCCGGGCCGGGGGTGTAGTGGTTAAGTTCACCGGCTCCACTTCGGTGGTCCAGGGTTTGCAGGTTCCAATCCCGGGCACGGACCAATGCACCGCTTGTCAAGCCATGCTATAGCAGTGTCCCATATAAAGTAGAGGAAAATGGACACGGATATTAGCCCAGGGCCAATCTTCCTCAGCAAAAAGAGGAGGATTGGCATCAGATGTTAGCTCAGGGCTAATCTTCCTCACACACAAAAAAATGTGATGACAAAGACAACCCGGGTGAGAGGAATGAATTGCCTGTTCTCCTTGATAACAAGGAGGGCTCCCAAAGCGGACGTGCTCAGCCAGGCTGCCGCAAGGATCAGAGGAAACACACATCCTGCAACCACCCTGCTCAGGCAGGCAGGCCCAAATTCTACCCTACCCCAGGGATGGGCAAACGACAGCCCACCGGCCACGTCCATTTGTTTTTGTATGGCCCAGGAGCTAAGAATGGCTTTTATATTATTTCTAATAATAGCTTTATTGAGATGTAATTCACATAAATTCACCATAAAATGAACCCTTTTAAAGTGTACAATTTAGTGGTTTTTAGTATATTCACAGAGTTTTACAACCATCACCACCATCTAATTTTAGAACATTTTCATCACTCCAAAAAGAAACCCCATACCCGCTAGCAATCACCCCCTCCACCAGCCCCTGGCAACCACTCATCTACTTTCTCTCTTATGGATTTGCCTGTTTTGGACATCTCATAGGAACGGAACCATACACTACGTGACCTTTTGTGACGAGCTTCTGTCATTTCTTCCATTTTCGCTCACATGTTGTGGCATTTGAGCTGTGTGGATATAACACATTTTTTTAATCCCCTTATCAGTTGATGGGCATTTGGGTTGTTTCTACTTTTTGGCTGTTATGAACACTGCTGCTAGGAACATTTGAATGTAGAATTGTTTCTACTTTTTGGCTGTTATGAATAATGCTGCTAAGAATCCTAGGTCTGGGCAACTGAGAAGGAGCAGGACAGCACGGCGAGGGGGGTGGCGCCCTCCCCAGGCGTTTCACTTACAGCCAGGCCCACCCATGCTCAGTGACTGGAACAGGCTGGAACCTGATTTGTGCACAAGTTTTTGTGTGGACATGTGATTTCTCTTGGGTATATACCTAGGAGTGGGATTGCTCAGTCATAGGGTAACTCCATGCTTAACTTTTGGGGAACTACCAGACTGTTTTCCAAAGGGGTTACACCATTTTACAATCCCAGTAGCATGTTCTTACATTTTTAAATTGAAAAGAAATCAAAAGGAGAAGAATATTCCGTGACACATGAAAATTATATGAAATTCACATTTCAGTGTCTAAATAAAGTTTTATTGGAACGCAGCTATGCCCACTCATTTACGTGCGGGCTATGGCTGCTTTCAAGCTCCAACAGCAGAGGTAAGTAGTTATGACAGAAATTATGTGGCCCACAAGGCCTGAAATGTTTACTGTCCGGCCCTTTACAGAAAAAGTTTGCCAACCCTTGCCCTAGACTGCTGCCTCTACCTCACTGTGACTCTCTTACACCGAACACAGAAAAGACTCTGCACTTCTAATCAGATCGGAGGGAACTTCGATTGACAAACATACAACAAACAAAAACCCTAATCTACTCATCTATTTCTTTGGTTGTGGAATTACATGTTAGAATCCAGCCAACTAGAGAGAGTCATTTCCTCACATGTCCCTGGAGAGGAAAGGTACAGACTGCGATCAGGGACAGAACTTGTCTGGCTGGATTGTAAGCTCCCCGAGCAGGGGCTTCAGCTATAGGGATGAGGGTGTTTTTCACGTTTACAGAACAACGAGCGCCAGGATGCTGAGAAGGCTGATTATGTGTGCCCCTCGGACCCTCACACAGAGCTGGGCCTTAGGAAGCACCCACAGAAGTCTGAGGAGGGAAAAGAAGACTCACCTGCATCTGTCCTCTGGGCCATGCAGGAATAGACGGAGGCCTGTAAATCACCCAAGGCCACGCCCACCTTCGTCCCCTTTGGGATTTCAAACCATGCATGGGAAGTTCTGCCTGCCACGCTGCCCGGCTCGGCAGTATCTGGGAGCAGGTGGACAGGAAAGCCCGAGCCCCTCAGTCTGCAAATCAAAAGAGGAGAGCGTATGTATCCAGTGCTTGGCTTTCTATTTTTGGTTGTTTCCAGGAAACTCAGCAAAGGAAAGCACTAGAGGATACACGTACGAGAAGGAAGAGTAGAATCCAGTGTTTTCACAGAGGGCCTCTTTGGCTTTTTTAAAACCATGAGACATAGGGTTGGGTTTTTTAAAGAGTGAACACTGGCTTTCAAAGGAAAATGGGATTGGCCTTCTGGGGAAGAAAACAACCAGTTTAAGCAGGAGGGATCAGGAAGGATTAGATAAGGGCCAGGTATCACTGCATCAGCCTCCTGCTTTGAAGGGAACACAAACCCTCTGCGAAGGGAGATAGTGGGAGTTGGAATGCAAAGTCACAGTTGGTTAGCACAGGCCAAACCAAAGTCAATCCTGAATCCACACGCATTCATCACTCGAGGTTAGTGAACATGGGGCTGTCAACTGTATGAAACACGCAAGAAAGTCCTTTACCTGAACTAGCAGTTTATTACAGAACTCAGAATTTGGGCCCTGAAGCAAGTAAACTTACAGGGCACTGGACTTCTGGACCTGAAAAGGCAAATGATTGCTTAAAAAGAACCTAAAAGGCACCCCTTGAGCCAATTACTTCCATTTCTTAAGCTTATTATAAAACATATTAAAGAGTGAAAGTTGTTTTTTGAAATCTACAGGTTGGGCCTGGATCACAGAGACCTGGGAGCCCACCCTAGGTCTGGGCGACTGAGGAGGAGCAGGACAGCATGGTGAGGGTGGTGGCGCCCTCCCCAGAGGCTTCACTTACAGCCAGGTCCACCCAAGCCCAGTGACTGGAACAGGTTGAAACCTGATTCCTGGCCTCTTGGAATCTTCCACTCTTCCCAAATGGGAAAGCCCACTGAAGCTCTCACTCTAGAGATTCTGCCCTTCAGCCTGGAGCCAGCCTGAGAGGTTATACTCACATGTCCAAGTTCCAGCTTTGGCTCCGGGTATTGAAATATCCCCAGCTGGCGGCATTCTGGTCGGACATCAGGGGTCTGGGCAAGCCACACAGCATGGCAACCACATAGTCACTGATGGTGCCTGCTGCATCATAGGACTTCAGGAACTCTGGGCTGTTTTTCACACCAAAAACAATTCAATGTAGTCTAATATTGACTTGAAAGCATGTGCTGCACCTAGCTGTGGGCAGTGTGGACTACACTGGCATAGCTGGGTGGCAACCAGAACCACACATGCTGCGGCTTCCCTGCAGCTGGACCTCCTGAGGTGAGGACCTCTTGCAGCTCCAAGCAAAGCTGGCTGGTGTCAGTCTTAGGGGAGGGGACTCAGGGGAGGACACACCATGCCTGGGAAGGCAGGACATCAGCCATTCTCAGCAGCCCTGACCTCCCCATGAACTCACCACGTGACCCTTGGCAAGTCCCTTGCCCTCTCTGGCCCCTTCTTTCCCCTTCTGGGTTAGAATCAGATAACCAATAGAGAGCCCTCTGCGAAATGAAGCAGTTCTAGGCTAAGTCTAGGTCTTGTGACCACAGCCTGTGCCGGGCCACACTCAGTGATGGACAATCCAGCGTGTGGAGTGATTTGATGCTGACTGGCTAGAGGTGCAGCCCCCTGGCCAGTCTCATTCACCTCAAATCCAGCACCCGATTCAAAGAACAGTTGTCCGTACCTATTTTTCAAAAGCCAGAAGATGGTTGCACAGCCAAACCCCGTGGCCACACTGAGATGGGACTCCGGTTGGGGCAGAGAAGCCAGGAACCCGCTGCCACACCGGCCATCCTGCCATGTGACCAGGTGGCTCACGGCTCTGGGCTCGAACAGAGGGGCAGTCCCTCCTTCTGTCCATTCACAGCCTGGAACAAAGGAGATTATCAAAAATGGAGAAAAGACCAGCACCAGCACGCCCTTGAGGCTACTCTGCTAGTGAGGCTACAGCACAGACTTTACCACCCATGACAATGCTTCCCTCACACACACAGGTTCTGCTTTAGTGGATTTAGTTCCTGGCTCCACCACCAACCACATGTGACCCTGGGCAAGTCACTTCCTCCTTCCATTTGTCCCACTTCCTCTATGTTCCTTTTTATTCATTTTTAAAGTTGATATTATATCTCCCCTCACCCCATAAGAAAAGAACTTCAGCACACTCTCAAGTGCCCTGGTCTCTGCCCTTCAAACCCTCATCATGATGATATTATCTAGACTTGATTCTGAATGATTAACAATATGTTTTCTCTTTTCCTTTGGTCTTAGCTAATTGATTTTTAGCTATCAAACTTAACTAAGGATTCCAGCCATCTTTACTTCACTTATCTCTTGAAACATCTTCTGGATTTTTCTCTGCTCTTTATAAATAGTTCACCCAAAACTTTTTCCAGTGTAGGTCTTTCTGCGGCAAAGCATCTGCAGGCCTATATGTTTCAGAATATTTTTTCATATCCTCATATCTGAAGGACAGTTTAATCAGTTATCATATTCTAGATTCTAACTTCCTTTTCTTTAATACTTAAAAATACTATTTGTAGATTTGTGGTAGATTGCCGCAAATTCCTTGCTATTCCTCCCATTAAGAGGTAGACTCTAAATCCTCTTTCCTTGAACCCGGGCTGGCCTTGGTGACTTGCTTGTCCAAGGGAATGTGGTGGGAGTGACATCCTAGGACTCACAAGGCTAGGTCATAAGAAGCCTTGCAGCAAACACCAGAGCCTCTTGGAGTGCTCACTCTGCGGTAAGCCAGCCGCCATGTAAAAGGTCCTGCTACCCTGAGGCCACCATGCTGGAGAGACCATGTGGATAAGTCACATGTAGACATCTGGCAGATCATCCCCTGCTGAGCCCAGCCTTCCAGTCTTCCCCACCAAGACTCTACCAGGCATTGAGTAGAGCATCCTGAACCCTCCAGACCAGTCTGTCCACCAAGTAACCTCCGTCAACTCCCTGTAGAGTAGATCAGTCAGCTGAGCCCTGCCCAATTCCTGCCCCCAAATCACAGGAAATGATAAAATGGTTTTTGTTGTAAGTCACTGAATTTGGAGGTAGTTTGTTATGCAGCAGTAGATAACCAAAATACCATTCCATTGCCTTTTTACAAAGAATGTTGCTGTTGAAAAAACTCTAATGTCAATCTACTTCTGATTCTTTTATATGGGATCTGACCTTTCATTCTGTAAACTTTTGGAATTTACTGTCTTTGAAATCCTTAAAAGTTCACCATAATATATCTAGCTGTGAGGTTTTCCTTCTCTCCCCTCTTTGACATTCTATGGGCCCTTTCAGTCTAGGGCCTTACATCCTATTTTGTCAATTATGGGAAAATTTTCTCCATTAATTCTGCAATTATTTCCTCCTCTACCACTTCTATTTTTCCCTTTCTGGGTCTCCTATTATCCAGATGCTAGTGCTTCTTTTTGTATCTTCAATATCTCTTAGCTTTTCTTTTACATTTTCTACTTCTTTGTTCTTTCCTTCTTCCTTCTGAGAGATTTCCTCCATCTGATCTTTCATTCTTTAATTTGTTCTGAAGTTGTATCCATTCTGCTATTAATTCCATCTATTACTTTCTTTATTTCAACTATGTTTTCCACACCTCATATTCCTGCTTGGTTCTTTTTGTTTTCTCCTTATTACTTCCTTGCTAAGATCCTCCTTTAATATCTTTTAGTATGTATGCCAAGCTAATTTTAAATTCTTAGTCTGTCCATTCTAATAGTTCTGCTTCTGTCAGAATCTCCATGAAATAACCCAGCACAATGTTTTTCTTGTGAGACAGTTGTGCTCTTCAAATGTCTTGCTGTCCTGGCCGGTGAGCTCATTTGCCCTAGGGTACTGGCCACTCCATCAGGCAATGTAAATGGGCAAGACCTCAGTCCTGTCAGCCCCAAGGGGCTGGGGAGGATGGACGAGTCCTGGCATCCACAGCTAATCCATCCCACCCTGGGAAATATCTCCACAGGTCAGAGCTTCCCCTCTGCCCCCAGGAAGACACAATGCTACGAGGATCCTTAGATCATAGGTCACCAGCCCCGTGTTTTGGAGAAGGACACCTGCTTTTCTCTGTGGCCTTGATTTTATTCCTGAAGACACCTGAGTTCCTGTGGGCGCAGGAACAGGCACTGTTTGTCCCACAGCCATGGCAAGCCAGGAGCCAAACTCCTTGTTTATCCTCCCACAGGCAAGGCTGGCTGCCTCTTGCCCCAGATCCAAACCATCAACCCACACACACCAACTCAAAACAGCCCCATCACCACTGGCTTTCTCACAGTGTCTCCCGTTTCCTTGGTGTTTTTCTCTATGGTTCCTCTGAAACCAAACTTGGGGGAAACAGCCAGCAGTCAAATTAGTTCAGCATCTTGGTGACGACTGTACCTGGAAGTCCAGAGGTAGAGGGCACTTATAACTCTGTCTCCTGGATCCTAGTGGCTCTCCTTGCCCGTGTGTTGACTTTACTCTCAGGCTAGTAGCAAGGAGAAGGTTTTTTTTTTTTTTTTTTTTTTTTTTTT